CCACGCCCTTTGCAGCGGTCATGCTAGCTACGCAAATGGATGCTTTTGGGGTTACTATTAGAGGGGGTTGTACGGTCGGAACGCTCATTCGTACTGCTTTCCATCTCCTCCGCCTGTACATGTCGGGCCTGACGGTCAAGCTATCAACGCGTCAACGCCGGAGCGGATTGTGAAGAAGATACAGTCGAGCTCGAATTGTTATTTACTGAGAACGACACGAACTTCATGCGTCTGTGGGGGGGTCCCAATAAATCTCGTTCGTCGAGGACGCGTTCCACGATCATATTGTACCTGCACACCGACTACCGCCGGGTAATCAACCTGTCGACGGAGCATTCAAGGCCAGCGCTGAGTCGCTGACGGTGTGGAGAACAATGGCTGTGATTCTGATTCAGGTTCCTCCACCGACTGGCGCACTACTACTCTAACCCCACACGATTATAATAATCCCTAGTTTGTCAACCCGGCACCAAGTCCATTGCGCACTACCCGCCCTTGCCAGGGCACCCACTCCTGCCTGCAGGGCATCCACCCCTGCCTGCAGGGCACACACCTGTGCCTGCAAATTGTTTACCGCCTCCAGCAAATTGTTTGCCGCTGCCCTCAAATTATCAATCCCCGCCCGCATAGCATCCAGGTGGTCAATGACCTGTTGTTGTTGCTGTTGTGCCTGTTGAGCGATGGTATTATCCATGTCCGTGACCGGTAAATTCGGCACTTGGTCGGCAATATCAGCCAATTGATCATCGATGTGGGAATCGGGCTGTGACTCGGACCCGGGATGGACAGGTTGGGTCATGGTGACCTTGATGGTGACGATGAAGTGTGGAATGAAGGGTGGAGGTCTGGAGTCGGGTATAGTCACGGTTGTGGAATAGATGTTGTTTTCTCAGCGTGCGCTACTCGGGTACATATATACACCTTGTATTTATGCATTCCAACGCACAAACAACTTGCCAACCTCCCTTTGTATCTCTGGCCCAGAACGCGCTTGCTGCAGAAAATCAGTCTCGACTCTCCAGGAACTGACTTCCTGGGATACCCAAGCATTTACCATATGAGTCGCTTGCTCATAACTCATAGCCCGATGTGTCCACCGGACGATATGGGTTACGAGGGGGTGAATTGACTAAACACGTTTAAACTGTCGTCTCTCGCTAATGTCCGGATATACGTGCCTCTCCCCACCACAAAAAGGCGGTAGGTTGTTCGACCTCCGGCAGACTCGCGATCTCTCGCAATGAGCGCCCTCCGTCAACACGTTCATATACTTTCACACCCCCGCCCTGCGTGCCACCCAGCACAACCCAGCGACTGTCTTCGCCCACGATCGCGGCTCCACGTAGGTGTCTAAGGCCGGTGTACACCTCCTCTACGAGCTCGGGCGTCTCGGGCTTCTCGAGCGAGAAGACGGCCAGCGTGTCACCCGCCGGGCTCGGGTCATTCCGGTTCGACGCGTATAGGAACGACGGGTCGCCCCCAGTGACCGCGGGCGCGAGCAGCAGCTCGGCGGCAAGGCGATCGCCGAGCGGTTCTTCGGACGGGCGCAGGAGGGTCGGCGTCGTGCTGAGGAGGGTTGGCACAGCCGGAAGCGGCGGGAGGCGATGCGCGGTCAGCGTGCTCGTGAGTTCGTTCAGTGTGTACAGGATGCCCTCTGTCGCGTTGCGTGTGATGAGGCTGACCAAAACTATACTGGTTGCTAACCGTGGAAGACTGCGTGCCGCGGCCCGTTGCCTGGGGGGTACACCACTTCGCCCTTTATGGTGAGCTCACCCGCTGGGTCGCGTACGACGCGCCATGTCCTGTCGGCACCGAGATCGAGAATTAGGAATTCGGTGCGTCCGGGGATGGACACGACGTGGTGCGGGTGTGAGCTCTCTTGGCGCTGCGGGTTGGGACCTGTGCCTTTGAGCTGCAACAGCGAAGACTCGGGGTGCTCCAAGAAGTATGGAGGTGAGGCGGACACTGGAGCAGCCAGGATGGTTCCGGACGAGTACTAGCTAGGCACAAATTTACCCAGCCAATCAGCATCTCTCGCGCAAGGATATCGGCGGCGCTGGCGCACGTTTCCGACAAAAAGAGTATCCGTGGTTGCGAGTAAAGATGCGGGGTCTGCGCCCCCGCTGGGTATTTGGCCAACTACGGTGGCATTTCCGTCTTCATTGAACTTGAGCGCGATTATGATACCGTCAGACTGTTCCAGACCCGTGAAGACGAGAGTGGGGTCGTCGGGGTGCGTGGTGAGCCAAGATGGACGATTTCCGACCTTTATCTTTGAGACGACCTCGAGAGTTGGTCCCTTGGGGTCGAAAAAGAGGCTTGTTAAGCCATCTGTATAAGATGCAGCTAGGATATGATAGCACGTCATGCGAGGAGATAAAATTGATCGCGTCCAGCCATGTGCAAACTGTCCTTGCTCTCCCCCCCCCCCTAACATGTCACATGACATCACGTGATCACTAATCCAAAAACTCGGAACCAAAAAAAGAATTTGGCTCGAAAATTATGTAGCTTATCACAAACATAAATATGACATAATTGTCCTGTGTTTTTTTTCTTTTATTTGTGTGGTGTAAATATAGTACAAACAAAAGCAAATTAAACCTTTGTTTTGTTTATTTGTTTGTTTAATGAAAAGAAAAACATGTTTATTAGTTAATAAAGATTACATAACATATGTACTGTTTTTTTGTCTAAGTCGAGAGGGAGCAAAAAGGGGGCCACGCACCATATTCTATGTGCCCCTGCTCATTATCCTCACCTTCCCATTCATGAACTGGGGAGGTGGTGCTCTTCTGCTTTGTGTAGTGGTATGATGTCACGCTATGCTAAGTCAAGCGGAAGCTGTTATGAACTGAACAGGTGAGCACACTCAACCTAGCACGGAGACAAGTCATGTGCCGATGATATGCCTGGTCTCTCCCTGAGCCCTGAAAAGGCACTTTTCGCAGTTGCTACTTACTTCCCATACTCAATCGCGCCTTCTCGCGCTTTTGCATGCTTTCGAAGCGCCGCGTTCCCGCGCTTCGCTGCTTTCCCGCGCTCTATGCGCGCTCGGCTTTCCTCTCACTCCGGACTCTCCCCTTCGCATTTTAGTGTTCCCCTGTTTATCTAATGCACCCCATTCCTTAGCTTACTTTCTCAGTATATAGCCCATGTAACTACAACTTTACAACTTAGATTTCTAATAGTAGACTTCTCCCCTTGGACTTTTGAGCTCAGTGTAGCTCGCTCCCTCGCGTTCCCCAGCGTGCCGCACTTGCGCGCGGCCTTAGCGACTCGATCCCGACGCGTTCCTGACCCCGGCGGCCATCCATACAAAGTTTCGCGCCGCGCCGAAGCGTGCGCGACCGTTTCCGACGACCTACAACCAGCCGACCCCGTTCCCTCTCTCGACCTTGCTGCACTTGTGTGTGGCACAAGCCCTTCGACACAGACGCGTCCGCAATCGCTGCGGACCCATATACAACACCTCGCGTCCCGCGGAGGCCTGCGCGACCGCTCACAACGCTTCACACCCCCTAGACCCTGCGCTCATCTTAGACTGTTTCCTAGCGTTCAGGGACAGTTTAGGGTATCACCGACATGTTGAGACGTGACTGAATAAATCACATGTCTTGTGGGATCTGATTGTGTCAGCCCACATAACTAAATACGGTATCTGTCCCTTATGGACTCTTTTGGACACTCCGGACTCATACGGACCGCTTTTGTTTATCTTTATTGTCAGAGTCATATATGGCTCTTATTGTTCTTTATTGTTAAGATACCGGTATTGTCTGCTTTAGGCAGCTATTGTTCTCTGCCCTCCAATGGCATTTCTCCCTCTGGCGCACAGACCACATGTATTGTGTTTGGGTCACCAGTGCGCACAGACCATTCTTACTTAAGCGTCCTGTATATAAGGACTGCTGTTTACGCCTCTACACTTCAGAGTTCCCTTCACCTCTGAAGTGTAAGTCCCTTTCTCTTTACCTCTCTTAGTACCTTTACTCATAGACGTTCCATAGTAACTTGTCTATCAGGTATGCAGTTGTAATAGAGTTCCCTTCACCTCTGAAGTTAACTTGTCTATCAGCTCCTTGCTTTTAACCCTCGCTTGTTAGTTCTGCGCTCAACACGACATACAGTCACAGTGGAGATAGCAGGACGTGGAGTCTTTATTCAAGAACTCAAACTGCAGGTGATCACACTGTGGTATGCTGAGTGGAGAACCAAGAGGACAAGTTAGATTGGAGAAGGTAAGGTAGTACAAGGGAATACACACCTGAGTGGAGAACCAAGAGGACAAGTTGGTTCCACTCAGGACGCTACAGGAGGGTTTATATACACTACTGAAGCTGAGCTTGAACTGAGTCTGAACACTGTTACTAAGTGTATAGTAAGACTCCATGACTCAGAGGCTGACACATCGTATCTATTGTGCTGACTGAGGCACTTGTCATAGCTGCTGACACATAGCTCCACTTGCTGAGTAAAACCTAATACAGCATGTCATTGTATACTACTAAGCATGTTCTAGATCCTTCCATCCTTATCTACCAATCATATGAGTCCATACAAATAAGGGATATAATATTGAGATGCATAAAAGTGACCAGACTGGGGTTTGAACCCAGGCCTACTGGATATATACCAGGTGCTCTACCAAGTACCAACTGAGCTACCTAGCCATGGGCTACTGAGCTGGATTGTAATACTTGACTCATGCTGGTGCCAACCATAGGGTTAACCAGATGACGTACAAGCTGGGTGTCTCTCTCATTCAAACTGGTACTGGCCATAGGGCCAACCAGATGATCTATCAGAGCAGCACACACCAGTGTCAGATTGGTAATCTGTCATGTGACCTGGTGTGTGCTGCTCTGATAGATCATCTGGTTGGCCCTATGGCCAGTACCAGTTTGAATGAGAGAGACACCCAGCTTGTATGTCATCTGGTTAACCCTATGGTTGGCACCAGCATGAGTCAAGTATTACAATCCAGCTCAGTAGCCCATGGCTAGGTAGCTCAGTTGGTACTTGGTAGAGCACCTGGTATATATCCAGTAGGCCTGGGTTCAAACCCCAGTCTGGTCACTTTTATGCACCTCAATTTATAAATCCCACAATCACATGCACATGGTGGCAAACACATGTGACTAATGAATGTCTCTGTACTTCAGCCCTTTATGTCTTCACCATATAAATCTGTATAAATACAGAAAAATAGGGAAAATAATATGTGTCTGTGACAGTAAGTGGCTCTTTATTTGGACCACACAATCTTGTACTCAATGCCTCTGTAGCAACATCCATTGATGTCAAGCACATCTTCAGCAAGGGCTGAATTCTTGTAACAGTCATGCTGCCATTGTGTGCGACTTGCATGAGTTGCCTTTGATTGACACTGAAGCTAGTCCAACGCTAGATGACCTTTGTAGCTGCTCTTGATATTTGACTTGTCTTCAAGGGGTTACACCTCCTGCAACAGGGGCAACAAGGGAGAAATGGTGGAAGGGATAGACTCCAAGGTTCACACCACTGAGTAGAGAAGGGGGGTAGACTCTATACTCCTAACTTCTGGTGTGAAAGGCCAAGATAGTTAAGCTGTCTGCTACACGGTTACAAGTCCAATACTTATACTACAGTGAGGGGCTTTCAAGCTCCACTCAAATATCAAAACCTTAATATCCCAGCCTTGAATCCTAATACGACTGACCAATAGCACAAGGCCCTCAACAGGCATCAGTCATCCACATCTGAATCCACCAGTGGCATAAGGCCCTCATGGCACAAGTCAGCAATAATCAAACATGAGGCCTCAATCCTAGTGCTTTGAGGTCCAGTCCTATAGACTGAAAAAAGACTGGAAACTGGACTGGACTTTGACTGATGATGACTGGACTTCAGTCACAGTTTTCCTATTTTCAGAAGTTATCAGTCTGCAGTCTGTCTCCTTTTTGATCAGTCTTAGGACTGGAAAAGACTGGTCTGAACCAGTCAAAGACTGGACTTCAGTTCATTTTGGCCTGCAAAAAAACTCAATAATATTATTGAATTATATTTAAGATGCAACCACCTAATGGATGTTTGATGCCCAATTTTGGCCATGTTGATGCGTGGTAATGGCGGGTTTCACTGGGACACAGGTCACCGGACCAGATGAGTTGTCAACTTGTCAACACATCTGACACTCAGCACTTGTCGACCCCATTGCTTTTGCAGGAACCCTCAAGCTAAGTAATTTTATTTTTCTTTATCCTTTTAACTAATAAGTAACTTCATTGTCTATTCTAGGTTTCACATAGTTGTTTCAGGCTCCACCTCGCTGCGCAGCACTGTGGGACCTCGACACCCACACAGCACCATGGTTCTCGACACCTATGCGGCACCATGGCACTACAACAGTGACATGGCATCGTGGCTCATCGATACCCATGTGGCCCTGGCACTTCGACACTGACACAGCACCATGGCCCATCAACATCAACGCAGTGTTGTAGCCCTTCAACACCGATGCAGCGCCGTGGCACTACGACAGTGACGCAGCGTATCGACACGGCACCGTGGCCCATTGATGCCCATGCGGCATCGTGGCCCTTCGACACCGATGCAGCATCGTGGCCCTTCGACACCGACGCAGCATCGTGGCCCTTCGACACCGACGCAGCACTGTGGCCCACTGACACTGACACAGCGTATCGACATGGCACCATGGCCCATCAATACCAACATGGCGCCACAACTCCACAATACTGATGTGGCACCCCACCCATTACACTACAGACTTAGCTTACAAGTAGTACATTGAGTTACTGTAACTACTGTACTTTACTAACTGAATAAAATTGTCTTAATTTCTGAGTGCACAAGTGTGAAAAAATAGCTGTGGATGCACAAATAACTGGTCAAAAACTGTTGTGAAACCGATCACAACTGGTTATTGACCAGTCAATATGAGGACCGGTCAATGTTGCATTTGGACCAGTCTTAGACTGGTATTAACTGGTCCAGAGCAGTCCAGTGAGTTTTTTCATTTCCTATCCAGTCTTAGTGTAACGCCACCACAGGGGCGTTAAGTACGACGTGTACTTCGGTTAAGTCACGGGCGGTAACGGGACAGGAGTAAGTCAGTTACGACTTAGTTCGATGGTGAACAAGTACCACTTGGCCTCCGTGGACACAAGGGTAATAGCAGGGACAGGCTCAAGCGCAACGGCGAGCAAAAGGGGGAGTCAAGCGAAAGTGCGACTCAAGGGATCGTTCGTGAGAAATGGACAGCGGTGTGGTATTACACAAGAAGTCAAGTCTACCGTACAAGCTAGGTAGTGTGAGACTTATATACTGGTACATGATGTTTGTCAGAGACAAACATATGGCGCGATCCTAGGATCCGGGTCCTAGAGAGCTAACAAAGGGAAAGTACGAAGAGAGAACAAGGGAATTCCGCGGGACGACGCGTGGATCAGAAGTCGTCAGCGGGTTCTGGAAGTCACACCACGGGGCGTCGTAACGGTCATGCGCTAGGCGCAAGATAAGAGCCGAGGCGTGGATCGAAGCAGATCGTATCGTAAAAGTACAATGGAAAGTCGACACAGAATGCGAGTCACAAGACAGAAAGGAAGAGGGAGAAAGAGGGAGGGAAAATCGTAACATTACCCCCCCTTCAGACTCGAAGTCGCCACGACTTCGACTAGTCGCTAGTATAGTAGCAGTCCTCTTCGGGGATAACAGTAGCGGGATCAGGAGAGGGGGAACGGGGACAAGTGTGAGATCGTAAGAACATGTGGCGCCCCCTTCGGCCACACTTACGGCACCCCCCATACTGCAGGCAGTCGATCTCGTCATGTGGTCGCCTTCCAGTCGAGACACTTCCCACACCAGCGGGTGCACGGCATGGGATTCTCGTATCGGGCGGACATCGGGGACATTCGCCTTATGAGGCAAACGTCCACGCGATGGGACGAGGCTGCCGCACCACTGGCACGCGTCCCGTCGTGCCTCGCTCAGGGGCAATCTCTTACGAGGTGGTCCTTGGACCGACACTCGTAACACCTGCGACGATGCGTGCTGCCTTCCCCTTGAAGGCGCGGCATCTCGCAGGGCCCTCCCTCCCGCGGGGGCAATGGCATCTCGCCAGGTCCATCCGCACGCAGGGGCAGCGGCATCGAGGAGTGGCGGGGTCGGGTAGGTTTGGTCATGAGCTCGACGTATCGGTCACTGATAAGGGGAATGATGCGGGCGTACTGCAACCGCTTTCTTACGCTGGACATATTCATGTCCAGGTGGAACTTGGTCTTTGACGGCCTCCGTCCTCCAGTCTGCGGAGGTCATCCCGTCGCACCTTAAGTGCGTCTCAGGGCTTCCAGGCAGGTGCGCAGGCGGGCGACGTCGGCATGGAGTGCGGGGTAGTGAAGAGAGGAAATGACCTCGTCAATGACGAGGCGGCGAGGGTCGTGGGGGTGGAACAGGATCTATCTGCTGGTCCGTTACATGTTGTGGCAGTTGGTTAGCAGTGGGTGGTGCGTAGGTAGATGGACGTGACGTAGCATGGCTCCCCCTTCCCCATTGTCCCTACCACCTCCTGGTAATCCTTGCAGTAATAAATGTACCGCGCCACTTCTTTCCTTCCCGGCTCTCCGATCATGAGCGGGTAGAAGCGTGGGGAGGTGGGGTCATTTGGGAAGTAGGGGATACCCGGCTCTCCTGACGTGTCCGGGTCTTCATCAGTCAAGGAGAGCGTAGCGTGGGTCAGGGACAGCGAGCTCCACAGTGGGAATGGGGGTGAACATGTGGTCAATCCCAGGTGGGAATGGGGGAAGTGGGAGTGAGGACTGGTGTAGGGTGCTGAGCGTCGGTTGCGAGACAAGTGGAGGCGGGGACGTCGACTCAGAGGATCCCGACGACTCGGGTGGTTCAGGCATAGTGGGTAGTGAGGTCTCGGGGTCAGATCGTGAACTCAGGCAGTGGGGGAGGAGTGATGATTCTGGAGTATGGGGTGTAGGCAGTGTCGGGGTTCATGTCCGGGATTCCAGCCTCTTGGGAGGGAACAGTCAAGTTATCGAGAATGATTTGGGAAGGGGGGCGAGCGGGCACAGTGGTGATGACAGGGTGTATCTGACATCAAGTTTCCGGGGATGATCATGGATGGCGAGTATGGGTGAAGGGGGTGCATCTTTTATATCTTTCGTCCAGCCCCTTCGGCGGTAGGGTTTTGCCAGGTAGAATTCGGCGATTAGGTCAGGTGCGTGGCGAACGTTATCGAGTGGTTCCCACGAGCTGTCACTCATGGGAAACCCCTTCCACTGGATCAGGAACTGAAGTTTACGCCCTCGGCCGTGAAGGCGAGATTGTAACACGCGCTCCACCTCGAACTCTTCTTCTCCTTCGATAAGGTCAGGTGGAGGCCTGCGTGAAGTTAGCTCCATGAAGTTCCGTCTCCTTATATGGTGTAAGGAGATTCGCATGGAACATGGGGTGTATCTTCCACGTCTTCGGAAGATCTAGTTCGTACGAGACCGCCGATAAGACTTTCTTGATTCGGAACGGTCTGTGACAGCTTCGGGGCGAGCTTTGCAGTGGGGTAAAAGGTCCGGAGGTTCGTCCCCTCCAACCATACTTGAGCGCCTTCCATATAGGGTATGAAGCGCGTCTTCCCCCTCTTCGCCATAAGTTCTTGCACGTGCTTGATGCAGTCTTGCGCATGCTGGCGTCTATCGCCCATCTCTTCCAGTCGTTGATCGACAGATGGGGTTGACATGGGTTTTGATGTCCACGTGGTGCGGGGTTCCCATCCCATGATCAGCGAGAATGGGGAATGCTTGGTTGTGGCGTTTGGCCACGAGTTGTGCGCGAATTGCGCTACTGGAAGTGCCTCCGCCCAGTTATCCTGTTGCACGTTACTCCAGTGGCGGAGGTACTGTTCCAGCCACTGGTTAGTGCGCTTCCGACTGCCCATCAGGTCTGCAGGATGGTATGCGGAGGAGATGTTCTGGCGGATTCCCAGCGTCTTACACAAGTCCTTCATGAAGGCAGACGTGAAGCGCGGGTCTCGGTCCGTGATCATCTTTCGGGGGATGCCGTAGTGTGGATAGACA